CAATATAAAGAAGACTGCTAATTAATATCAAATCAAACAATCATTAATACTTTTTATGGAAATAAAGAAGTAAATACGAAATTTAGTTATGGGAAATTTTACAACATGCATATTTTAGCATATACATGTTTCGACATTATCATATATGTATCATAAGATTGCTCTGCAAGTTGCAGTCTCCTAAATCATACCAAAATAAATTATTTACAAAATATTTCACAACTAAATTTTGTATTTATTTTTTCTAAAAATTCAATTAGTAAGTTAAGTAGTGTTTCTTTAAATATGAATTTTAAATAAGTTTTTATATATTTGATAATATTTATTATTTTAATTTTAAAAATATAAACAAAAAGTTAATTCGCGTAGAACGCGGAGAGTCAACTAGTTAATATATAGATGATTATTTAAGATATTTTTTGGTTAGATATTTAGATATGAAATTCTTTTTGTCGATTTTCTAACTCGTTGAATCTTGTCATTTATCAAATTCCTTTTTCAATATGTTTTATCATATTTATTTAGACATTAAAAATAACAAATTCCATGGAAAACCTTTGCTAATGAAATAGTTGTTCTTCTTCTTATATTACTTTTAAATAGGATGAGAAAGAGAAGTTTAGTTTATAAAAGATGAAAATAGTCACCTCCTCTTCCTACCTTCACCAAACACTTTTTACTTTACGGTCCTTACCTACCCCCATTCCACTCACACACACGCAGAGCCATCCCGTTAATTCTAACGCCGTTTACCATTTGAGCTTTCACCAACTCCCCCCGCACCTAACGCCGTTTTCTTTTTGCCGTTGTTCTCAATTCTCAAACCAACTGTCTCTCTCCCTCTCTTATAAAACCCTCTCTCTCACCTCCATTCCTTCCTCAGCAGCTTCTTCTGCTTTCCATTCTCCGACCATATTTTCTCACCGGAATAATCCAATCACTGTAAAATGGACCTCCTCTTGTTGGAGAAGTCTCTAATCGCCGTCTTCGCGGCGGTGGTTTTCGCAACCGTGATTTCCAAGCTCCGCGGCAAGAAATTGAAGTTACCTCCTGGTCCGATACCGATTCCGGTGTTCGGAAACTGGCTTCAAGTCGGAGATGATCTCAACCACCGTAATCTCGTCGATTACGCTAAAAAATTCGGCGATCTCTTTCTCTTACGGATGGGTCAGCGTAACCTAGTGGTCGTCTCTTCCCCGGATCTGACCAAGGAAGTGCTCCACACACAAGGCGTAGAGTTTGGATCTAGAACCAGAAACGTCGTCTTCGACATTTTCACCGGAAAAGGACAAGATATGGTGTTCACTGTGTACGGAGAGCACTGGAGGAAGATGCGAAGGATCATGACGGTTCCGTTTTTCACCAACAAGGTTGTTCAGCAGAATCGTGAAGGATGGGAATTCGAAGCGGCGAGTGTTGTCGAAGATGTGAAGAAGAATCCAGATTCCGTTACCAAAGGAATCGTGTTGAGGAAACGTTTGCAATTGATGATGTATAACAATATGTTCCGTATCATGTTCGATAGAAGGTTCGATAGCGAGGATGATCCTCTTTTCCTTAGGCTTAAGGCTTTGAACGGTGAGAGAAGTCGATTAGCTCAGAGCTTTGAGTATAACTATGGCGATTTCATTCCTATCCTTAGACCATTCCTAAGAGGTTATTTGAAGATCTGTCAAGAAGTGAAAGACCGAAGACTAGAGCTCTTCAAAAAGTATTTTGTTGACGAGAGGAAGTGAGTTCGTCGTCTCTTTCGATTTCTTGAATTTTGACTTGTCTCTTCTGATTTAGGGATTTTGAAATTGACAATTGATGGATTTACTTACACAGGCAAATTGCGAGTGCTAAGCCTACAGGAAACGATGGATTGAAATGCGCCATTGATCATATCCTTGAAGCTCAGCAAAAGGGAGAAATCAATGAAGACAATGTTCTTTACATCGTCGAGAACATCAACGTCGCAGGTACCTCTTTTTGTTCCTTGTGGGATACGTAATCAATCCTCTAGACGTCTCTCTTGATTGCGTAAGAAATGGAGACTACTCTTTTAGGTGAATCCTATAAATTCGGAATTGTAACCATAACAGAAAATTAGGCTCATCTGGTTTAGATTGTGATTTGTCTCCCATGAAGAGGCTAGATTTGTGATGATGCTGAATTCATCGTTATTTGTGCTGAAACAGCGATTGAGACAACATTGTGGTCGATCGAGTGGGGAATTGCGGAGCTAGTGAACCATCCTGAGATCCAGAGCAAGCTAAGGAACGAAATTGACACGGTTCTTGGACCGGGCGTTCAAGTCACAGAGCCTGAGCTTCACAAGCTTCCATACCTCCAAGCAGTGATCAAGGAGACGCTTCGTCTAAGAATGGCTATTCCTCTCCTCGTGCCTCACATGAACCTCAACGATGCTAAGCTCGCTGGCTACGACATCCCAGCGGAAAGCAAAATCCTGGTGAATGCTTGGTGGCTAGCAAACAACCCTAGCAGCTGGAAGAAACCTGAAGAGTTTAGACCCGAGAGGTTCTTTGAAGAAGAAGCCCACGTTGAAGCCAACGGTAATGACTTCAGGTATGTGCCGTTTGGTGTTGGACGTAGAAGCTGTCCCGGGATTATCTTGGCATTGCCCATTTTGGGAATCACCATTGGTAGGTTGGTCCAGAACTTCGAGCTTCTTCCTCCTCCAGGACAGTCTAAAGTGGATACATCTGAGAAAGGTGGACAGTTCAGCTTGCACATCCTTAACCACTCCGTAATCGTTATGAAACCAAGAGCCTTTTAAATTTTCTGTGAACAAAAAGTAATTTCTGCAATATGACTTTTTGTTATAAATGACACTATGTTTGTGAAAATCTGTTCACTATTCCATGTTTTGTTTTCGTTAAATGATTGTGTAAAATGTTGTTAACGGGTTCGTTCCATGATTGCAATAATTAGTGGTGCCCATTGTTTTAAATGGACATTCATGTTATATATCATTTCGAATATCTCATAGTTGTTCAACCATAGTTAACTTCTAACTCATTACACAGTTTGTTCAATATTAATACTATATTTATCGGTAAATAATTTTAAAAGTATCTAAAGAATATAATACTATATTTTTAAATTTTAATAAATCAAATAATTAAATGAAAAACATTAATCTAATGATAAATGTACATGTGGCAACAAGTCTCAACCAGTTCTTCCCACTGATACGTTTCAAAGAAGTTTTAACTCAATAATAATATATTTTATTATTTTTAATCTTATTTAATCAAATGATACCCAAAAAAGATTACCGATAAAGATGGTCTAGCTCCCAGTCAAAGACTAACGGTCTTGTATTATGGATTAATGTAGGCTCAATTTTAGAGTTAATAATGGGCTTTATAAGGCCCATTGTTAGTTTCACACTACTATCGATAAGTTTCACACTACTAAATAATGGTTTACTCGCAAAGATTGCGCAACGGAAAACAAAAAAACACCCAAAAATGCTCGCTCATAAGAGATTTGAGAAGACTGTTCGCATTCGCTGCATTGTCTTTTGATTTGTGTTGCTGCAGATTTGATCGGTCGCATCATAAAGATCATCGGATTCATCGTTGTATAGTAATAATTTTCAATTTTCCTGAATTGATTCTATACTCCGGACTCCGTTTACGGGACGCGCGATTCAGATACAGTTGAAGCGTGAGTATCTCTTTCTTCTCTCTCGATGTTTTTATAGATTCAAGGATTTTGTAGAATTATTAGCTAGATTCGTTGGGATCTAATCGTAGATTTTGGATTGGGAATCAAAATTTTCTGTCTTAGTGACGAATGTCAATGAAACACAACCTAGTTTATGGAATCGTTGTGTCGAATTGAATTGTAGTGATGTTGAAATTCTAATTTCGAGATCCTTGTGAATTCGTACAGTTTTCGAACCCAAAGAACGGGAGTTACTAAAAATCTAAGCTGCATGGAATCAGAAGCGTGTACGCGGAAGCGGAAGCTTTTGGAAGCGAGTTTTTAAAAAAATTTAGGAATCGAGTGTGTTGAAAGCTAAGCTGCATGGAATCGGAAACAGAAATGGAAACGTGGAAGCGAAATGTTAGGAAATGCGGAACCGATTTTTCTTTGAAAAAGAAGAAACAGAAACGTTTTGGAAACG